AGTGGCTATACATCAAATTACTGAAGGCCCTAGCAGGTCTATGCTGATGAGCATTCCTTGTCCCTGCTCTGTTAGGTAACATTGTTGGTACATGATACGGACGGTGCCTTGTTGAGCTCCGCCAACTCATTTCTTTTCTATTCTAAGTGGCACTCACTGTGAGAGTAACTGTTACACTGTTACAACTTGAAAACCTTGAAGCTCAGAGTCAGACCCAACATTTATTTTGATTCAATGGTAACATATTCGTCATGATATATGACTAGCTGTATATTTCACCTGTATGGTACCCTTGGATGAATCTAATTGTTAATGCAATGAAAAAAATGTTTTCAAAAACATAGCATCATGTTGTGTAGTTTAACTCAAAAGTTTAAGTCAATTTTAAGTCCAAATATTATTTAAAATAATTTCACTGGAGCAAAGTCAAGCTGATTAAGTCACTGTGTTATTTAGTGTTATTCATATGTAATTATAGTCTTATTAATATTTTGAATAATTTTTTTCTTCTTAGTATTTATTTAATTTTACTTTAATTTTTAATAATTTTGTGATTTGGTTTTGTCAGTTTTCTTAGTTTTTATCAAGCATTACTAATTCAGGTTTAGTTGTTTTAGTTTTTAGTTTAAAGTTAAACTTAGTTTTAGTTATACTTTCTTCAGTTAGTTACAACATTTCTAACTTTTGTTGACATGTTTTGCTTATTAAATTATATTTCATATTTTACTTTTAGTTTTAGATAATGATAATAACTATAATTCAGTTTACTATTCAGTCATATTTTTAACTGAACCCAGTTAATTTAGATGTTACCACATGAAGTAAATTTTTTTGGTTGCCTCGGTTTGCCTTGGTTGACTTAACTTCATTAGCAGATAGGTGGTTAGGTGACTGTCAGGCATGAGATGACAGGTTAAGGAGCTGTTCTAACAAGCACATCTGTCCCCTTGTGGTTCACCCGCTCATGACCTGGTCTTAGCCTTGCGGTGTTGCATTCCTACACTAGGATAACCTTGCATCCAGTGCTTATCACTTGATATTGAGCTTGAATCACCAGCAGTGAGCACACTAGAAACCCAATCTTGCCCACTCACCTTTCTGGAAGAGGGATCATTGCTTGTATTGTCATAACTATTTAATTGGCTTGGAGACATATATAGCTACACACTAATTTAGGATGATGCATTCACTGAGTCATTGCATAAGCTGTGTATTAACAACTTTTCTTGCTTATACTCAAAAATACAAATAAAAATAATGAATTATTATAGGTTACATTTGTATTTATAATTTACATTTGCACAGTAATTATCATTAGAGCATTCACTGAAACTCTATCCATTAGTTTAAGTCACCTGAGAATGGGTATTGTTAGATAAAAGAGTTAACACATAGTTTAGGTTGACTAGTCTGACATCTGATTATCTTTAAGTCAATAAATAAGAGTTACTCTCCACCTAAATGGGAGGGTAAGCAAAAGAGAGTGTTTTATTTCAAAATTGATTTAATAATAAATTAAGTCCCCACTATACATATGGCAGTCTTCAAAAACAAGGCTCTCAAACTACGGAGAGGTTGATAGCTAGGTTTTATTTTCCATCTCTGGCCAGTTGATTTATGGCAACAAATTAAGGTGTTTTTTATCACAATGAATTTTAATAGATTCTATATAGCTATTAACACAGCTTTAAAGATAGTAGTTTAGGAAAGGGACTTTGAAAGGATTTGATGCCAAGGACCCCCAAATAAGATGATTGTGAGGCATCCACTTTCTAAAACATAAAGGCATATTTAGATTTTCATGTACATGTCAAGACCTATTTATGATGTGTGAGGAAAAAAACTTTATTGTTTGCAAAATTACATAAATATTTTAAATATTAAAAACATGTTTTAGTATTTTATATAATATAAATCAAATATTTTGCAGACTGGCAGTACCTCCTAGTGGCCACTACTTTAAGATCCTCATTCTAAAACAAACCAAACTGTCCTGACCTGTCTCTCTGTCACTACACACACAGAACACTATATGATTGCTAGTGAACACAAACACAGCTGGGACTCCAGTCCCACAATGCTCTGCTGCTCATAGAGTGACCTCGTCTGACTTGATTCTAATCTGTTGGCCCAAAAATGCAGACTTAAACAGATTCCTCCTCATACAAACCCCACTTCCGTCATGATGGTTATTATTATACACTATATTATACAATAAAAAGTAGCATTCATCTATTTGCTGATCTTTTTTGAAAACAACAAACCATAATGTTGGCACAGAAAAACATTTTAATACTCGAACAAGTATGTGTGTGTGGATTAGAGTAGATTATAGTTCTGACAGGCTGGTAACACAGGGCAATGTCACTGGGTTTAACTAAAATATGAGTGCGGATTAAAGAGTGGTTCTCTGTTCATCTTCCCAAAGGTGTGCTCTGATTAGTCCGGGATTATCACACGCACACACACAACTTTAACCTCAGTGATGAAAAGACATAATCAGTTTCTTTTTTTTAACCTTCTGTATTCTTCATTTCTCTTTCTCTGTCATCTTCTTCATAGTAATGCTACAAGCTAAGAACTCTTTCTTAGTGGTCTACCTATAATGGCTGTAATATCTGAGAACACTAATAAAAATGCTGCAATTTTTATCGCTAATTATATTCAGAGCACAACAATTTGAGTAAATTGAGTAAACATGAATTTCAGAATGTCTTAGTGTTTGGTTTGTCTTTGTTTTGCTTTAATAATGGACTCCACAGGTTTGGCTAAAGCCTGGTGATCATGTTCTCCAGCATGATTTTGAGATGATCATCTTGTGCTGCAACGTAAGAACACAAAGGGAGTCTGCATGAGCAGTCACAAATGTTATTTGATGAGTGACCTAGTAATAGTACACAATTGTTTACTTCAGTATGTTCACTACTTTTCTTTATTTTGTATAATGTTTCTTTGTTTAAAAATGTTCAAAGTCTTGAAACTTTGTTTTTACTTTTTAAATAATTTATTCTTTTTAAAATCATTTCAATATTTGATTTGTTATTAAATTTTGAAAACCAGATTTAAAATGTGGTGTCACGTCAAATAATTTAATGATATTTTAATGTTGAGCAATACAGTGTGAATTAAATGCACACTTATTTCGCACAATATGTACTTCAAACTCTCTGAAAAATAAAAATATTAGTCATTGAAAAATATTAGCAAAATGGATAAATATTGCAGATTAATCGACCACTGCTCTTTCTTGCACTTATTATTTGCTTCTCCTCGAATCTCCTTGTTCTCTTTTTCTCCCTCTCTGTACATCATCCTATGGCTCTCCGACTTTAATCTGAAATAGAGGGGGGGATTAAAAAAGCTTCTCATTCTCTCATCTAATTCTCACCCTCCCTTACGGCCCGCTCCTACTCTGCATCCCTCTCTTTCAGCTTGCAAATGAAATCATTTGCATGGGACTGCCATCTGTGAGGAAAGTGAGTGGATAGGGAAGAGAGGGAGAGACGTGGAGATTGATTAAGCGAGATATGAAGATGACAAGAATAGGTAAAAGTGTGCTTGTTTTATGAAACATAATGTTATTTGTATTTTGCTTTTGCTTTGTCGGATAGTTATAAGAGAAGGGTCTAAGATGAGAAAGAATGCAAAGGTTTATAGATACATTTGTTGGGTTGGTTTTCGAAACTAAACAATGTGGACTTTTAAGTAGCTTAATATGGAAGCAGGTGAGTGTTGTATTGTCAGTCCACTCGATAAATTAATTATATAAAAAGGGCAGAAGAGGAGAGGTGGGAATCTTCATTGAGGACTAAGGCATGGGAAACTGCACCAAACCATCCCTGAAAAACAAAATTAAAAAGGTAAGAGAAACATATTTAAAGGTCAGGGCCTATATATCGGGGGACTGTGTTTTTGTGTTAATTGTAATATTGAAATGAGTGGGAGACGAATCATACTTTAAAACTTAATAACTCTTAGATATATTGTAAAGATAGTAATCAGTATTTCAGTAAAATTATAATACTTCAGTAGTTTAAGGACGTGTCAAACAAATTGACTAAACGTGCTTAATTAGAGATTATGTCTCAAGTAAAATGTGGCCCCACCCTAAGGGTGTGGCTGAGGGTAAAGGGGCTGGGCCAGTGGTGCCAGGGCCCCGCCCACCCGGAGAAGCAGACGGAGAAAATGAAGTAACTTCTGAGTTTAAGGGGCCTCTGAATGCACTAGTCCAAAACTGCACCATGCTGCATAACATCGTTGGACCAGCATGCATCTTCCTAAGACAGGGCTTCACAAAGTCACAGCTCGTATGTACCATGAAAAACTGAAAACACAGTGTTTCAGCATCTACATTCTCCCCTTGCATTCATCCAAAAGATCATCTGAGCTATTTCAGCAGTTATCTCATCATCGTTGTCAATCATCCACATTTCACTCCCTCCTCTAGTGTGATGTAAAAGATCATGCGGACAGTTGAAAGAAATGTAATCCTTTATGCAACCTTAAAGTGGTAAAAAAAAAAGCTGATTGTTAGGTTAAAGCCTATTTTGAATCCCAGATTTTTAATCTGGTCTCAGACGTCAAAACATTTATAAATTAATTATTAATTATTATTAATTATTTGATGGTAATTGAATGTTGAGCAATACAGAGTGAATTAAATGTACTCTTATTTTGCACCATATGTACTCCAAACTCTCTGAAAAAGAAAAACATTAGTCATTGAAAAATTGCAAAATGGCAGAATATCACCCGATTAATTGACCACTGCTCTTTCTTGCACTTATTATTTATTTCTCCTCGAAACCCCCTGTGCTCTTTATTTCTCCTTTTCTGTACATCATCCCATGCTCTCTGTCATTAATCTGAACTAGGGGGGATTAAAAAAGCTTCTCGTTTTCTCGTCTAATTCTCACCCTCCCCTTACCTCCCCCTCCTGCTCTGCATCTCTCTCTTTCAGCCTGCAAACGAAATCATTTGCATGGGACTGCAATCTGTGAGGAAAGTGAGTGGATAGGGAAGAGAGGGAGAGACGTGGAGATTGATTAAGCGAGATATGAAGATGACAAGAATAGGTAAAAGTGTGCTTGTTTTATGAAACATAATGTTATTTGTATTTTGCTTTTGCTTTGTCGGATAGTTATAAGAGAAGGGTCTAAGATGAGAAAGAATGCAAAGGTTTATAGATACATTTGTTGGGTTGGTTTTCGAAACTAAACAATGTGGACTTTTAAGTAGCTTAATATGGAAGCAGGTGAGTGTTGTATTGTCAGTCCACTCGATAAATTAATTATATAAAAAGGGCAGAAGAGGAGAGGTGGGAATCTTCATTGAGGACTAAGGCATGGGAAACTGCACCAAACCATCCCTGAAAAACAAAATTAAAAAGGTAAGAGAAACATATTTAAAGGTCAGGGCCTATATATCGGGGGACTGTGTTTTTGTGTTAATTGTAATATTGAAATGAGTGGGAGACGAATCATACTTTAAAACTTAATAACTCTTAGATATATTGTAAAGATAGTAATCAGTATTTCAGTAAAATTATAATACTTCAGTAGTTTAAGGACGTGTCAAACAAATTGACTAAACGTGCTTAATTAGATTATGTCTCAAGTAAAATGTGGCCCCACCCTAAGGGTGTGGCTGAGGGTAAAGGGGCTGGGCCAGTGGTGCCAGGGCCCCGCCCACCCGGAGAAGCAGACGGAGAAAATGAAGTAACTTCTGAGTTTAAGGGGCCTCTGAATGCACTAGTCCAAAACTGCACCATGCTGCATAACATCGTTGGACCAGCATGCATCTTCCTAAGACAGGGCTTCGCAAAGTCACAGCTCGTATGTACCATGAAAAACTGAAAACACAGTGTTTCAGCATCTACATTCTCCCCTTGCATTCATCCAAAAGATCATCTGAGCTATTTCAGCAGTTATCTCATCATCGTTGTCAATCATCCACATTTCACTCCCTCCTCTAGTGTGATGTAAAAGATCATGCGGACAGTTGAAAGAAATGTAATCCTTTATGCAACCTTAAAGTGGTAAAAAAAAAAGCTGATTGTTAGGTTAAAGCCTATTTGTTTGGCCGCCATAAAAACAATGCTACCACTCAAACAGTACGTGGGGAACAGTACGATTTGATCTGTTATACTCATACACACACACATATACATACATAAATAAAACTGTTGATTCTGGTCCTCAAATCTGAGTGGCTCCTTCATTTTTACGTAAACATATCTGTTATGCTGAATGAATGATAATGGAATATTATTTCACCCATATTTTGACATTTTATTCTCACAAAAAAAATCTATCTATATGAATTAAAAATTAAGCAGCACAACTTTTTTCAACACTGATATTCTATGTAATATTTATAAATAAATATATAATAATTTTATCCATAAAAAATGTCTCTTGTTGAGATGAATGACACATTTTAACAATGCTTTGTATTAAAAAGACATGTGAGGATACTCGGTTAACTAAAGGATTTAGCACTGAATTTGTGGCATATGTAATCCACCGGTTTATACGAATGCGTGTGTGTGTACTATATGGTATTGGGTATTATACACAAAGCTGTAAATGGAAAAGAGAATCATCTGTGGGATTTTCTCATATGGCACTCCGTTTAACCTCATCCTCTCTCTGGACAATGTGTTGTGTCTTTCTCTGGGTCCTCCTCAAGTTAAACCCCCAAATCTACTTATCTTTTAGCTGTTGTCAGGCAACTTTCACTTATAATCTAGTGACTACCCATTTCACTACATTACCAGTCCTCAAACAACTTTCTCATTTCCACATCCCCACCCAAGTGTTTTGTTTGAGTCTATTTGATGATTCAGAGAGATAATGTCAAACAGAGACATGTCTTCAAATGCATCAGTGTTTAACATCTTTCTTATCTGTCTTAATTTAACAGGACAGGGAACTGCGGCCAGAAGAGATAGAAGGTATTCACAGAAACCACACACCTCACATAAGAGTGAGAAAACATCATGTTCATGCATTTCATCACCTCTATCCTTGTGTTCATGCAGAACTAAGAGAAGCCTTTAAAGAGTTTGATAGGAACAAAGGCTACATCAACTGCAGGGACCTGGGAGAATGCATGCGGACGATGGGATACATGCCAACAGAGATGGAACTCATTGAACTGAGTCAACAAATAGGTGAGTTAAATCATCCCTCAGAGAGCATTTATGATCTGTGTGCCTTCATGCAAACATTATCGTACTGTATTATAGTTTAAATGTCTGAGACCATGTTAAAAATATTGGATTTTGAACATTTTGAATTTTGAAAAAAAATAAAAATAAAAAATAATAATAATAATAAAATATATAATAATAAATATTAAACATTTGTATTAAATTAAAGAAAAAAAAACAAATATTTGAAGACATATATTCCTGTATTTTTTAGGTGGGGGTAAAATTGACTTTGAGGACTTTGTGGAGCTTATGGGCCCCAAAATGCTGGCAGAGACAGCAGACATGATTGGAGTCAAGGAGCTGAGAGATGCCTTTAAAGAGGTAAACACACTCACTTACACATGTACCACTGTGCTGACTGCAGCTGTCAGTGGCCTTAAAGGGGTCATATGATGCGATTTCAATTTTTCCTTTCTCTTTGAAGTGTTACAAGCTCTTGGTGCATAAAGAAGATCTGTAAAGTTGCAAAGACTAAAGTCTCAAATCCAAAGAGATATTCTTTATAAAAGTTAAGAGTCAGCCACGCCTACCTAAAACGGCTCGTTCTAACACGCCCCCACATATCTACGTCGCTCTGTGGGAAGATTTGCATAACGCCGCCCAAATGTTCACGCAAAGAAAGAAGGCGTAACTTTTATTCTCGCTGTAGTATTGTTGCTGCCGCCATGTCGTGAAGACGCTGTGTGCTTCGTTGTAAAAGCGAAACTACTTTGTTTGGTCTTCCAAAAGAGGACGATATCTGCTTCGTCATGCCTAGAGCTGATCCGTGCTGGTCGCTGAGGAAATACAACAACTTTGCGCTGTGGATCACCGGATCGGCTTTCACCGTGGACGAAGCAGGAGTCCAGCCCGGGGTCGTCACATGTCCTTCCGGACGGTCCTTCGTCTAAATCGTTCTCAAGCCCGCGCTTCTGCTCACTCTAACCCTCCCGCCGTTCCTCACTCTAGCCGCCGGTCTCTGCTCACTGTAGGCCGCGGTGTGTGATGCTGTTGTGTAAAATAATGTTCTTTTTAGCAGCATCATATGACCCCTTTAACGGCAATTTACTGCTGTGCAGTTTGACTCCAATGGAGATGGGCAAATCAGCATCACAGAACTGAGAGAAGCCATGAAGAAGCTAATGGGGGAGCAGCTAAATTCCGGGGATACTGACGATATACTTTGTGATGCTGACCTCAATGGGGACGGACTTGTTGATTTTGAAGGTAAAGGAATGATGGACAAATAATGACAACTAATACTTGCTTTTCTTAACATTTTTAGTTTACCTCACTGAATATTCTTTTCTGTTTTCTTTTTGTTTTGTTCTTCCTCACTCAATTTTCCAGAGTTTGTGAGGATGATGTCACGCTGATGGAAGCCACACAGAGAGACTTTATTTTCATCATGAGACTCTAAGAGGGACACATGGTGCAGCAATCTGAATTTTTCAACATGCCTCAAGAGATACAATTTGTAAAAAATTATGTTTCATTTTATTTATTAAATAAGCATTATTATGCAAAAGAGCAATGTCTCATTTCAATAGAGTAATGTTGTAAATGTACTGTTTAACTGGTAGGCCTATTTTCAAAGTTGTATTTGTCTGATTACCAGTGTATTGAATTTGTAGTGTGCTTTTTAAAAAAAAATCATTTAATTACAGTGGTTTGTTAATTACCTGTTTATGCCTCTTCTTCTTAAAATTTATACCCATGAAATCAATTAATTTTTTTTTTCTTTTGGTATGCAAAGTCTTTCAGAAATGGTAATGTGACAGTTTACGTCACTGGTATCGTCTGACTGCAGGGTTGTTGAGTTGTACTGACAGACTTCAGCTTTCTTTTGTTTGGGCACACTTACCGGCCCCTTGGACGTTTGACGGTCTGACTTGTCTTTCTTTCTTGTAGAAACAAGTGGTAATGTGAGGCTTCCTGCTTGCGTTACTTGTATCATCTGACTCTGAACTCGGACAGAACGGTAGGCTAGATGACAGAAGTGCACTTCTTTTCAGTGTATTTAAAATAAATTTAATCAGACACGTCATTTTGCACCGTTTGGACCACCGCTTCAGTTTTTTCCAGTGCACTTAACGCTATGGTTGAGGGCTCATATATTTACGTAATACAAGAATGTATGAAGTGTGGAATGATCTAAAATAGAGAACTATATATATATATATATATATATATACACAGTATAGGCTATACATGGATCTTTTGAGATCTGGTACAAATTATGACATACAAAAATACATAGGCTATAGGGTCCGTGTACGTTTTGATCATTTAATCTCCTATTTGGAATGCAATAACGAGAAATAAACGGCTCCGAAATAATCTGTCAGCATACTGTAACTCGCATTAAAGGGGTCACTTGCAAGTCGCAGCAGCACGAATTATGTGCCCAGCAAAATCTGATTAAAATATTATGCGTAATTAACAGTGAGTGGTGGTTTCAGACATTATAGTGCCGCACTCGTACTGACTCTCATTCTGCCTGAAAGAATGAAAAGACCGTAGCCTACTGAAGGCGGAGCGATTCGACCAATCAGATGAAAGGAGCGTTTCAGCGCCGCCCACACGTGCGAATGAAATATTGAAACCATAAACCGAATTTTAAACCCCAAACGAAAAATGTTAAACAAAACGGAAAAACGAATAAACGAGCCGTTTTTCCATTTCTCGTTATTGCATTCCAAATAGGAGATGAAATGATCAAAACGTACACGGACCCTATAGGCTCATATGTATTAATCATTAAAAGATCGCGATCTCGAGTTATACACACACAATCTTATTGCTATGACGATGATTCCACTACGTATATTAAACATTTGAAATCACAATCATCGGAATAAACCTGCTTTCTGCTGTTCCAGAGAGAGCAGCGCTCATCGTGTAAGCTTTATGTTTGAAACAGCTTCACAAACAGTCTACAGTAGGTTACATTTCTGTGTTGCAAACATTAAATACTAATAACGAAAGTATTGGGATAAAAGTTTATAGTCCGGATATAGCTGATGTTGCGGCAGCCGCGTTCAAAATGAGAAACTGACCTTTGGAACTCATGTTACGCTTCAAATAAAGATTGTTGGCCTATATGTTACATTATGCCAGTAGGTAGCGACCAGTGACTGTTAAAATAGCTACATTTGATGTCTAATTCATTCAATCAAGAGATTCGTTCAAAAACGATCGAATCAAGTTCATTCATTTATTTCAAATATTTTTTTTTACATATTTTTTATTTTTAATAGACTCATTTATAACATTAAATAAAACATTTTGTAAGAAACCTAAGTGAATTAGCCTATATATTATTTTGTTTTTGTCTAATGTTTTGTTTTCAGAATCGTGGGAGAACCGTGATCTCTATTCTAAAAATAAATTATCCAGAGTCATAGCTTAATAAATAATATCTGACATCTAACTAATAGCCTACTATTACTGTTTCTAATAGCCTATTAAAATGTAGACTAATGTACAATCTTACAGACTTTGTGTAGTACAACAACAAGGATTTGGTACACTTATAATGCATTATAATGCCGTTTCTCCAGTGTGCAAAGTTCTGCAAAAAATTATATATATAAAAAATATATATATATATATATTTGTTATATTTAGATAGGCCTAGATGAGTGATGTAAGCTCATCACGCGGGTTTCCATTCAGTGCAGAAAGATGAATGCATGGAAATACCGCCATCTTGTGGCTGGGTCTTAAAAAAAAGAATGTTCAGCTCACATGTTGTTCATGAAAACAAAAATTCAAATGCTTTATTTTCCCTAAATCTAATTCAGTATATATATCAGTTAGATGCAGTGATGAACGGGGTCCACTAAACATCCAAGATGGCTGCTAGTTGTTGTAAACGTATTTCACATGAGTTATATTAAAATAATGTTACTTAATTAAAATGCTAAAAATGAGGATGTAAGCCTACAACATGTAAACTGACATGTTTCACAAATGCACCTTTTTCCCCTTCCTATTACTGCAAGTTTCATCACAAGTCTCATGATTTTTATTGACAGCCATGATGACAGATTCACAAAGACAAAAGTTTGGTATCAAGCTTTTAGCATTTTATTCAAAAGGTGACCAGGATTCTGTACAGCAGGCAAAGGGAGATTTCTAGGGAACAGGAGCTTTCCTCTCCTCATCCCTTTATCTCTCCCTCTCTCTTTCCATCCTCCTGGGGAAAGGGGGATTCGAGTCGGGGAAAGAACAGATGACAAAAAATTGAAATAAATTATGGAAGGAAAAAAAGAAGCCATGCAGGAGAGAAAGAGAGGAGAGGAACTAGGGAGGAAGAGGGAAGTGTTTTTATTGGTGTCTCCATCCGACACAGAGACACTCAGAGGCCTGGGAGAATCACAGCCCCGCTGGGCTTTAACAGCTTGACAGACACAGACTGCAATGTGAGCCAGGGAGTCTGTCACCCCGAAAACATCTGCCCCTTCATAACGGCAACACAGGGAAGATGCAGCCTCTCAGATGTCTCTCCTTCCTCCTGTGCCCCTCTCCCTCTGCTCCACCTCTCCTCTTCCTCTCCTGGTCTGGCCCTCACTTGCTGGCCATGGTGTAGCAGCCATGTGGGTGCCACTGCATGTCACGGATACGCCTCACAGACTGAAACTGAGGGCAACGGGCACCATACTCGTTAAAGTGTCTGTATTCACCCTTCTCCAGCAGGTACTGGCTGCCACGGTATCCGGGGTACTGATAGCCCACCCAGCTGAAGAAAACAAAGAGGTTAGTTTGTGCTCCCTTGATACTGTACTATGCATAAACTCAATTATAAATTTAAACCAGGGTTATTAAACTAAAAACATAAAAAATATTTTTGTAAATAAAATATTTTTACAATATATTTTTTCTATTTTTAATTATTTTCTTTCAGCTAGTTTCCAAGGCAAAACTTATCTTTTTCATTTAGTTGTACTGAAATAAAATTAATAAAAACTATAAAGACTTAAAAAAAAAAAAAAAACTAATTAAAATGACAAAACACAACAAAATTACGAAAACTTTAACTAAAATGAAAATGAAAATGGAGACTATAAATATAAACTAAAACCATGAAAAAAACATTTTGGAAAAAAATAAAATAAAATACTTTTTTTAGTTAGCGCACCCTTGATAATACACTATGTAAACTCATTTATATATTTAAATCAGGGTTATTATAGTACACTAAAATCATTAAAATAAGATTTTCATAAATAAATAAAATATTTTTACAATATAATTATTTTATTTCAGCTAGTTGCCAAGGCAACATTACTCTTTTTTGGTTAATAACTTTTGATGTACTAAAACGACTAAAGCTGAAATAAAAATGAATAAAAACTATATAGACATAAAAAAAATCTAACAAAAATGACAAAAACAAAACAAATTAAAATGACTAAAACTTTAAAACTTTCAAAACTTAAAAAAAAATAATAATAAAAAGGAAAATATACTATAAATATAAATATAAAAGCCAAATAAAAATATTCATAAAAATAGTATCTCAATTATGCATCTAGTATCTTAAGCATCTTGTTGAGCAAGATATGTTAATGTTATATTTATCTCTATTATCTCTATTAAGTATTTCTTCTAGTTTACAGTTTAATAAGTTCTTGACAGCCACGTTTGTCAGTACTGACAAGCTTTTGGGATCACTACAAGCGCACAGAAGTTTGACCAAGTGAAACCTTGGGCTAAAGATACTTTGCACTTACGTTCCACAGCTGACCATGATGCTGCCAACTCTGTCGGTGAATCCGTAAGAGAATAGACTAGGAACGTCATCATCCATGATCTCCATCTTGCGGCCCTTGTACTCGCCCACCTCATACAGGCAGATCTTGTGCTTCTCAGGGTCCTGCAGGAGAAAACGCGATGAATGCGTTGTGAAAGCATTCAAATAATAGGCCTAAAGTTGTGAGAGCATTTACACACCATTCTGACTGGTCTGAAGGAAAGCAGGTAGTCGTTCTTCTGGCAGTTGCTCCAAGAATCCCAACGAGGATACTCACCCTTCTCCAGGATGTAGAAGTTCATCTGCTCAAAGCCCACAAAACTGCAGAGAGCACATGAAGAGGTGAGTGAGATTTGTTATTCTTTCTAAATCATACGTGTTTAATATAGATGCAGAGATGCTTACGGGCCACACTCCACACGTAGTGAGCGAACTCTGTCCATGCCCATTTCACAAACATTCATGCACTCAGCGTTAATCTCAATCATGCGTCCCTGAAAGTTCTCCTGGTCGAACACATACATCTAATAGAAAGAGAGAAACCTATTATTAGCATTTTAAATCGATGTCCAAGCAGACATTCACATGTGTATGTTTATCTGAAAGCTTTACCTTGTAGGACATCATGCCCATCTCAGACTTCTTGCTCTGGGCTGCCTTGCCGTCGGTCTGGGAGGCAGTCTTTTTTTCTCCACTGGAAGACATGGCACCTGGGGTAAAATTAATAATAGAGAATTAAAAGAAGGAATATTCATATAACTGTAATATGGCTCAGAAATTAGAGATAAAACTGAGATTGAGAGAAATGAATAAAGAAATGGCAGGGCTGACCACTATAAAATATTTGATG